AACTCCACAAAGGCTGGGGGTATAGATCAGTGATGTGTCCATTGTGGAAGGCCCTGGCTTCCCAGAAAAATAAACTATTCGTGTGTGTTACAGATGAGGACGTGAGAGGCACAGAGCTATGACTTCACTCTGAAATGCTTGTCAAAGAGGACGGGAGAAAGGAGGACGGAGGACCCACATTCCACCTGCAGGATGTGCCCTGTCACACAGCTTGTTCCAGCCGGGCCTCAGCCTGGCTCAACACTGAGGCTGGGAGGTGGAGGGTGCCCAGCGACAAAAACCAAAGCTGCCTCGTGCCCCTCGGGGACGTTCTCAGCAGAGAGGCCAAAGGCAGGGGGGACACCTGGCTGGTCTGCGTGGGAGGACCCAGCCCCTCTAACCACAACGCAGGGCAGAGGTGTGATCTGGCAGGGGCAGGAGTGTCTGTTCTGATCTCTACGGTGACAGAACTGGAAGGTTCTGTAAGGACTGATCTGCTCGGTCTGAAATCACAGTCACAAAGCACACGTATAGAGACATCGAAGACTTCTTTCACAACGAAATTATGACATCAACACCTCCAGGCAGATGGGGACAGATGCCTTCTCCTAGAGGACCTGAAGAGTTGTTCTTGGGAAATAGATGTTAGCTGATGAGCATGCACAGAGCAAATGCAAACCTAAATCCAAGCCCAGGGCCACCCCAGTCCCTCCCCCATCTGTGTCCAGAACAGGGAAACTCGGCCACCATGCCACAGTGGCTCCAGGGCCATCCCTGGCTTGCAATTCCTGGCTTACAGGAGATCCCTACGTGGTCATTTACAACAGGCCCGCTTACTCAGTGTGGTGATTTCTCTAGTGTTATTTCATCACTGACATGTTAAGCTTCCTAGCAAGCTCAAGGCCCCAAGTTCAAACCCCAGTACAGCAAAACACACAGAAAACTGCTTTTCTGACCATGCTCACCAGTGGGAAACCAGTGAAATTTGACGGACTGTCTGCAGTCCTGGTTACTAGCAGGGCAGGGACATCCTCCATGGATGAGGCTCCCGCACCACCCAGCTCAACCACCTGGGTTCTGTGTCAGCACTGAAGGCCCCACAGCCTCTGGGCTCAGCTGAAGTCTGGGATTGCTCCCCTCTCTCAAAGAAGGGCAATTAGCCAGGCCATGGGCCCGAGGAAATTATGGCTCAGGCTTCCAAAGCTGGGCAGAAACTACAAGGGAAGACCAGAAGCCAGAAAGCTGGGCCAGGGCCCACCTCCCACCCCCACACCGCCTGCCTGTCCACTGTGGCCGTGTGAGCCAGTCAAGCTATGAACCTGTCTGGGCCCACGTTTCTCCAGCAGCCCCCACCCTAGCTCACAGCACATAACTGGAGCCCAAGAGATGAAGACACACACATTCCCAGGTACCAATCCCGCACCCGCTCCCGCCCGCATGGAACCGGGGACGGGGTGACTCACCAGTGGCTCTATTGTGCTGAGGTCTTTAATTTTGTTGCCACTTAAATTTAGATGTGTGAGGTTCGGACACTTTTCCGCCAACACGTCCAGGCCCCCTGAGATTCTGTTATCGCTTAGTTCAAGCTAAACGAGGCAGGGGGAGAAAAGGAAGAACTGGGGTTTAAAGCCAAGGCTGCGTCCCGACCGCAAGCAAGGGCGAGGCCCGCAGGGAACGGCCGGCCCGTTGGGGCGCGCAGCTGGCCTTGACCTCCCCTCCCCTGCCCCACCTCCCGCACCCAGGCTGCTCACCTTCTTAAGTTTGTTTAACTTTGGTAAGTTCGCGACTGAGGTGAGGCCTACGTTGATTGTACTTAAGAATTCCAGTTCTTTGAACTCATCCGTGAGGCCCTCGATTTTGCCTTCGTTCGACCGACAGTTGTCCAAGACAAGTTCTTTCACCTGGGAAGGGAGGGAGGTGAGAGTGGAAGCGGGGAAGGTGTGGGAGGTCCCCTGGAGGATGGGGAGATGTGTTCCCAAGCGCCACTTCCTCGGGATCACTGCAAGCGTGAGCCACCCATCCTCGTCCGTCTGTCTGTCTGGAGGTCTCACTCCACCACCACCACCACCACCACCACCACCACCACCACCCATGCTCTCAACTCCAGCAAAAAACATGACAGAGACCCTGCTCCCCACCAGCCTTCTACACAGAACACCCTCCCAATTACCCACATTCCGGCTCAGCCTCATCTTCCTCTCCCTCGAGGCGGCCCTCTGCTCACGGTTCCAATGCACACACAGGCCAAAGCCTGTCCACCATGACAAGACACTCGCCACTCAGCCTGCCCCACAGCAGGGCAGCAGACCTCCCTAGGCCAGCACTTCCCAAGAACGGCTACACCCTGCGCTGTCCGAGGGGAGCCACTAGCCATGTGTGGCCCCGGGGCACCCAAGAAGTGGCTGGTGAGCCTCTGAGGTTGCCTAACTTCACCAAGTGCAAAGACACGCAGGGAGCTCTCACCGGACAGCACCGCCCTAGGCTCTGTCCCCAGGTCCCTCAGAAGCTGTGGAGGGACTAGAAACCCACAGTCCTGGGGTGGCCCTTCTGAAATTCAGAGACTGGCCAAGTCCCAAGGACATCTCTGGAGGCACCTGAGGCCATCCGTCCCCACACGTCCCCTACGCAACCTGGGTCCTACATCCTTTAGTTTCAAAGGGGTGGGAGAAAAGAACTGGTGGAAAGCTACTTTCAATGGAGAGTTAGGACGCAGAGCTGGCAGAAGGTGGCCCTGAGGGCAGAATGACAGGCCTGGAAAAGCAAGCACCATTTCAGCACAAAATGGTCCAGAGAGTCAGCAGAGAACCAGGTGCCGACCCGAGTTACCATTCCTGCCCCGGTGCAGACTGAGTCCTGGGGAACCTGGACCCCTGGGGCTGGGAGACCTTGAAGAATCCTCCATGTTGAGCAGTTCCCCTCTGCCCAGGACGCAGCCTGCCAGGAAGGATGTGCTGATGTTCGTTCCCTGGGGCTTCTGTCCACAGGCCCGTCCTCCACAGCAGCCCACCTGGCCTAGCTTCTCCCTCTGTGGTCCGTCCCCCAGAGGCCCTCTTACTCGGGCACTCTGGGTCGGGGGGAACTTGAAGGAAGAGGTGGGCAAAGCAGTGACCTGGAGCACCGGGATCTCAGACGCTGCAGGGCTCTACCTTCACTCTCCCCTGGTGGTAGGAGGCACAGTGACCTCCCTGCACAGTGGCAGTGTGGTTCTACCTGCAGAGCTCACTGGGGCAGGGTGAGGGGACAGCCTGGGAGCAGCCACTCTCCCAGGTGCATCAACTGTTCGACCTGGGAGGAGGAGGTCAGTACTGAGAGGCTTGGTGTCCAGGTCAAGCCACTTCCTCAAGGTCACTGGCAGATGTGCCAGGGAACAAACCCTGTGGGCCTCCCACCGAAGAGCAGAAGTCAAGCCTTTGGGGACGAGCACATGGAGGAGCATCGCCTGGGGCCAGGGAGCCACCTCCTTCCTGTGCGGTAAGCACTGGAGTGCAAGGCCCACCATCGTCTTCCTTAGGAACGGGCTCCCTGGGAATCCCCAAAGCTACATCAAATACCACGGGTTGTGAGAAGATACCAGTCTGCCACCGAAGGCCGCATCTGTGTGGGTTTTCTGGTCAGGGGACTCTCATCCTGCCATGAGCCAAGGAGGGCAGGCCCCGGGGAGGGGAGGTGGCAGTTCAGAGAACTCCTCAGAAAGGCCACCACAACTCACATTTTCACTGAAAGTGACTACTGGGTACACTGCAAGAACTCCCCACACTGGCTCCCTTCACCCACACAACCGCTCGTGAGGTGACCACTCCTGGGGTGCACATGGGGTGCGCTTGTCCACTGCCGTGTCAGGACCACCTAGGTGGTCCCAGCAGATGTCTGCTGACCAAAGTGGACAGTGTTGTCCACACTCAGAGGGGCCCCTGGAACTCTGACTCTCCTGAGTGTAGGGCGCTCGCCTCTCTGGAGGTCCCCACCCTGGCCATGCTGCCTCGGCCACCCTGGCTCAGCCAGCTGTGCACAAGGGGGGAGAGGCAGCCGGAGGGGCCAGAACCCCATTATTTGGCTCTGCCAAATAGTAGGGATGGCTTCCACTCCAGGGAAACCTGTACTCTGAAGGGACAGGTGAGGTCTCCCAAATCCCCCGCTTCTGGTCTCCTTCTTCCCGGCACGGGATGGGGGTGTTCAGCACTGTTTGCAAGTTTAGGGTGAGAGGAAGGGGTCCGTCACGGTGGGAGGTAGGTGAGCTGCCTGAAGCGTCCGAAATGGACAAAACAAAAACGTCAGCCCCACACAGCCTCTGCAGGAGCCACCTGCTGTCCTGTTGCATCCATGCAACTTCACTGTCTTGGTGGTCCGGGGCTGGGGCTGGGGCGCACCCCTTTTTACTCGAAGCCTCTATGCTAACTCTTCGCTTGAAGACAACATCCCTTTCACATTCAGGGTGTACTCTGCTTTAAAAAGAGGGAAAAAAACAAAGAAAGGCCCATTTCCGCTGCCAAGTCCCCAGTGTGAGCAAGCGCAAAGTCAAAATTAAACTGAAAATTTGTACTTTGGGTGCAGACTCTCCCTGCTCCACCAGCCACTTAAAAATATCCAAACGTGACCTCTCTCTGTGGCCTGGCAGCAGGAACTGCTCTGCTCCCACCAGTGCGCCCCAGGACGAGGTGCTCATGTTGTGCCCCCAGGAGACGTCAGTGGGGAGGCATAGAAGGTCCCCAAGTTGTCAGACTGCCCTGGCTCCCCAGTTCTTGAAACACTTGTCCCTGAAGCTTGGATCTGTGTGTCATTTCTCAGCGCTGGGAGCTGAGACTCCATGAAAAACACAAACACATCATTACTCTAAGGAATGTCTGTTTCAAATCATGAAGTCTTGCCTATACAAATTTTTCCAATTTGACCTTTCCTCTACATTTCCAACACTACAGCCCCGGTCACTGTCACCTCAAGTCACTCAAGTCACTGCCTTGAAATGAGGGACATAGCTATGAGGCAGCCTAGACTACAGGTAACAGGCCTTGTCATAGAGGCCAAAGACCCCAGCAGCTGATTGGCCCCATCTCTGTCCCCGAGGCCCCAGGCTTCTGGCTCTGGAGCAAGGGGATGGTGACATCTTTTAACCTCTTCAGCACAGATTCCAGCCTAGAGAACATGTCTAGCTTTTCAACACCTGGGATAAACATTAACTAAATTCCAAAACATGACCTGCCAGGCCCTCCCCCTCTCCTCCCAGGCAGATCTACTTCACATCCCCCCTCTCCAGGAGGCCTTCTTATATCCAGCTCTGAGCATCCCGGGGCTGTGGGGAGGGCAGCTGTGTGAATCATTTAATCGTGTATTAAGCATCTGATCCTCTAGAGGTCAGGGACTGTCCTCTGTAATCAGCCTAGCAGGGAGCAGAACGAATGCCCTGTGTACTGTGCCAGGCATGATACTAGGGACAGGAATACCAGAAGAGGCAAACTGCCATCACTCGCAATGTAACAGACAGGTACACAAGCTCCACCTTTGACAAACCGTGTCCGAGACAAGCCTAAGCCCCTGAGGAGGTGCCATCTGGATCCTCCTGGCTCGACCTGACCCAGAGCTCCACAAGCATGCAGGGTTCTAGCCATCTCCACACAGGACCTCCTGAGGGGACACAGAGACATGCTGGGCTGAAGTCAGGATCCTTACCAAGAGGTGTGGGGGCCCGCTGGCAGCAGACAGCCCTAGTCCAGGGTGTCAGGCAGGACAGGCTTGGACAGACAGTTGAGGGCAGACAAGAGGGACCCAGAAAGATGGAGAAAGAGGATGCACTGTCACAGCCAGGACTGGCTCCTCAACTTTACAGGCCCAGTTTGCACTGGGTGCAGGTCCCTGGCTCCAAAATCACGAAGGGGGTCAAAGGCTGTGATAGCAGCCCACACCACATGGGCTATATGGCTACGAAGCTGGGCCTACTTAAAACAGACAACTTGGGCATCAGACAGCCCTCAGAAGAAAAGAACCAGAGAGAAGGAAGGTCAGAGGGAAAATGTTCTTTAAGGTACCAGGGGCAGCTGGAGAGAAACAGGCTCTGGAGTCAGACAGACCAGGTTCCAGCCCATCTCACCTCTCTGGGCTTCCAGGTCCTATAGGTAAAGCCTGTCACCTAGGGTTGAATAAATGAAATGACACACTGGAGCAACCACCCCCACCCACCGGCTTGGAAAAAGCCACCACCTCCCCTTTACCCACGGCCAGCCCTAGTGCTGCGTCCAGAGTCAAAGCACCAACGTGGAACAAAAGGCAGCCAGCAAGCCCAGTCCCGCCGGGAGATCCGTGGCCCTGTGCTGCAGGTGCACCCTCCACCTTGTTGTGTCTGGTTTCCCATGCTAACCTCTGCCCTTGCTTTTCTTTTCCTTCACTAAGGAAGAATTCCATAGCCACTGGTTTCAACCCTGCCAGTCCTGGACTATCTAGTTTTCAGGTTCCAGTCTTCGCACAGAAGACAGGACTCAAGTCAAACCGACCCCATGTTTTCTGGTGCTTGTGGATTTTAAATAGGCCAGCCTTTAAGTGGGTCATTCCCTGTTACAGGCCCCATTTCTAGCTAGAAAGCTAAACTGTTTGAGACACCAAGGTTTCAGCCAGGGATCATGGTTATACACTTGGGATTCTGTTTTAACTGTAAAATCTACAGTTTTGGTGACCAGGCAGCGTAGCAAAACCTGCAGAACTCAGGCAGGTTCTGGGGGTGGGGCGGGGCGGGGAGAAGCTAGACACTTGGAAAGTTACAAGGGCCTCCAGGATCATCTAGGCCACTGGCTTTCAGACCACGACTTCACAGCAAGAAACACTTTGTACTGGTCACACCAAATACAGAACTCACCCTCCACTTTCTTTCCTCTGTTATTTGGTTTTAAAAAACTAAAAAACCAGTTTGCAAGAT